TAAGAAAGTTTGCTACGCCATAAATAACTCGCAATAAGATCAATTTGCTAGACTTTTTTGGTTGTTGTTGGCATATGATGTTAGGGTGCAAGAGTGCCAATTCGTTTTTCTGTTTCTGTTTTTTTATCTCACCTTTCGCTTCCCGAGCCTTCCTGGATAGTAACTGCGATAATTTCCAGATTGGGCATAAGATCTATAAGAGCTTCCAAACTTCGGTGTTTTTCTTGAATTTGAAGCCTTTGTTTTCTAAAATTAGAGCCGGTAAGAAACAGTTATAGAAGCTTCATGGTACGCTAAGAGTTAAATAAAAAGGCCTCATGTGTATCTTCCCTTACCGACTTAGTATTTTGCTTTCCAACGATGACATGAAAACAAGTTAAAGCAATAAGCAGCATAGCCAGGAGAAATGCTGGCTTCATGGCGATTAATGTAACTGTTGACTTCCAAGAGAAAATGGTTAAAAAACTGATTCTTCAGCAGATTTGTGCACTCCACAAGCCGAATAAAAACTGTAAACTGAAAACTGTTCGTATTTACGTATTGACAATTGGACCAGGTCGATATTTCTTTCTCTTTGTAATAACTTGCCCGGAAGTCGAAGAACAATAATTAATTAAACTCATTTTGATCTGTGCTTCAAGTTGGCCAGAATTAATTGGACCACACCTACAGGGGATTTTCGCATCCTTTTGAACTGGTCAAGCAAATTACATTGCTTACATGATAGAGAGTGAAAAAAAGGAGGGATTGCTTAACATGTTCACCTGTTTTAATGAAAATTGAAAGTAAGGTAAGACTGGGTTGTTTTGCACAATCACCAGTTTCCGAGAGACACGTTACATTTTCAGTGACGCTGTTCATGTCGCTTCACCATACAGTGAGCTTGGCGCGAAATATTCTACGAAAAGTCTCAACGACAAATAGACGAATCTAAAAATAACTACAAGATTTTTGCCAGTGGGCTACCGGCTGTTCACACTTTTATGTAATGTTATCTCGCCGAGGTCAAGGCCTCTTCCACACTACGCCAGCAAAATTTGAAAACGGCGTTCTCGCTCTGAAGACCCAACAAGTGTTCTCCGTCCATACCACGCTGGAGAGATTTGAAAACAAAACAATCACTGATTGCTAAACTGCTTGAGTGCACCCTTAAAGGATAGGGCTGATCATGTCATTATCGTAACATCATCGTTTTTTTTTTTGTTGTTTTTTTGTTTTGTTTTTTTGTAGTTTATTTTATTGATACAAACATATTACAATATTGCAACAAATTACAAAAGTAGTGCAAAAAAGAGTGTTGTTACAGCTGATAATATTCTAATGAAAAATGGTCGATAATTTACACGATAGTAAATATTGCAAACAGCATCGTTTTGAAAAGCTCCGTTTTCAAATGTTTTCCGTCCGCATACGAAAACGCAAAGCTGGTGATTTCAAATTCCTCTGGTTTGAATAGCGTTTTCGAAAAGCTCTGTATTCGGTGTACAATTTATCCAGATTAGTTTGGACCAGGGTAGACCTATAGCTAACCGTAGAAATAAAGCCGCGTTTTCAGATTTCCCCGGCCCCTGAGTGTGGATGGGGCCGAGGACGAACTTCAAAAACATCGCCTTGTTTGACTAATTGTTCGAATAATTGGTTGTATTCCGTCACGGACACAAAGGTAAAGCGCTGCAGAAAAACATGCAATGAGTTTAAAACAGCAAGCCCTTAGACCCAAGGAGAGCTTTCCTTTCATCCTTCAACACGTTCAATTTAATTACTTTACAGCGATAAAAGCCCAGTGTTTTACGAAATATTTATTTAAAATACTTTTTTTATTCATTGAAATACAATTAAAGGCATCCTTCGCTGACTTGTGGCTGTCAAGGACGAAGTCAATGAATTAAAGAGGTCAGAAAACACCAGATATAAGAATTTCCAAAAAGGTCAAAACAAATCGTGATTTTCTCAATATATCATCCTTTACGTACTGTCCTGACTGAATGACGACAACACGGTTAGACAATATTGAATATTCATTGCTATACCTGTTGGAAGAGAGAGAGAGACCTGGGTCCATATGACCAACATCTAATTTCTCCTTGAATTGTTGGCCTTTACATGACGTCATCGTAGTGTCAGAACCTAACTACAAGCAAAAATAAACGTTCAAATAAACTACAGTCCCAGTATGTTGATAGCTAAACTGAGCTCTTTAGTGGTCCGAGTAAGGGCGAATGGAACTTTGTTAGCGAGCAATCGGCTCGTTTGGCTCGTCAATTTTCTTTTCCCTGAAGTTTTAACAGAGTTTAGTGTATATCATTGTTTATGGCCGCTTTTTGGTGTCTCAAAATGGCGGACACATATCAAGTCCCTTAATCCTGTAATGTTCCCTACAAAACAATATAGATGATTTTCTTCTGAAAGGCATGTTAGCTTAATTAAATAAGTGAGCTTTTTTTGATTTTTTAAACGATGGTAAACCTATTTTCTCAGATCGAAGCTAGTAAAACCTCACCGGGTGAAAAACATTAACAGTATAACATGAAATAATTAACATATCACAAGTAAGTTTCAGAGAACTAATATCAAAATAAATGGACGCTAATTAATTCAGTACAATTCAAAAAGACTCATACTTTGGGCCAAGTCTGAAAAATTCGATTTTAAATCCCAGACTCTGGCTTTAAAAGCATTTGATGCTGAATTGAAAATCAGAAGTTGACTTTCTGTTCCGCTGCGGACCGTTTACAACGAAGCGTTAGGAATCAGCAATTTAATGAACGAATTCATCGTCACGGCTCGACTCAAAATAAGATTTCTTTCGCCAGCTTATTGATCAACATCTAAATATCATTCAGTCGATATCATAAGATGTAGACCCACATCATAGGTCACCAATTTTTATTCTTGAAGTTTAAAACTTTTAACTCTTTCTGATGTATTGATTCAAAAACCGCAAATTGATGAATATATTTACTATTTTTTGGGTATCATCTTACACTATTTCATATTGCCAATATTATACACGTTTTTTTGATTACAGACAAAAAGAGCTTCATAAACAAAATTTCATATGAAAACGGGGTATCTAGGTTCAGCAGGAAAATTTTAATGTTTTAATTAATTTAAGTGAAAAATTATCTTGCTGACTTTAAATGCCCTCCTGAGATATTTTAATAATCTGCGGGAAAATCTTCAACTCGAAAACTAAGCATATTTCCTACCCGCGTGGAGAATGGATCAATGACGTCATACAGACCTCACAAGCACCACTGTGTCACTCTTTGATGAAATATAATTGAATATCTACCCCTGACTGAAGCAGACCAATCGATTAACACAAATCGATTTGTCTCGAGGGGGCAACATTGGTGATTACAATGCAAACATTAAGGGGCATACAGTCTTTCTTTTCAGAGACTGTAAAAAATCTGTTGTAGTTTAAAGTAGTGCTTTAGGCAGAAAAAAACGCCCGTTTTACAGAAAAAAAAACATGGCAAAAGAAAGGGTTAGGTATATTCACAACTATAGCTGATTTTCGATGACAGTTGTCACAAAGTGATTACCAAAATTAGCGTTCTAAAACTGTCCGTTACTAATGTTAATTTGGTAATAGTTAGTGTTTTGAAGTCATGGAATTTAAATTTCCAGGCTAGAAAAATAATTATAAATGGAACCCGCAGTCTTAGAAACTATGCATTTGTACTAGTGACCACTTTTTTTGGTAAAAAGTCTTTTGGAAAAGCTTAAAAAGTACTACTTTTATAATGTTGTAGCGGTCAATCTTTGGTTATAGACTTGTATGCTCCCAATCATTTAATTGGCCCTTAACCACAGATCTACAAAGATATTTTTTAAAAAATTCTAATCACCAACTGAATTAAGCACTAAATTTTTGAAAACTCTCGGCAGCGATTAAGGTACACAGCCATGAAATTGCCACAAAGGCAATATATTAATTGAAACAAAAGCCTCTGCAAAATTATTTGTGCGATATAATATCAAAAAGTTGGCTCGAAACACTACTTGTTGTAACGCCAAACGCCAAAGATGAATTTTATTTGATGAATCTTTTTTTTTTTATCCCTGTTATGCTGGTGTATATTTGCAAATCTATTTTCAGCGTGGCTTGAATCCCTCTCGTTGGGACCCAATGGACGCCAAACCCCCGTTGAGGCAAAGTCTGTTTTCAACACAAACACATGACCACACATTCTATCTAGACGTTAATCTTATGGACGCCATTTGTTTTGAACAAAAAAAGTTACCCATTTCTTTTGAGTAGGAAGATAGCCGTTCAAATTAGGTTCTTTGGCAAGTTATCTAAACTATTTAATTCATTTTGAATTCTCAAATCGCTTCAAATGACTCTGAGTGGGCAGAGACCTCAATTTAATGCGTGGGGGAATTATGTTATTCCTAACTTTAATTGCAGAATTAATTTAGTGAGTATGAGCAAAACAGTTTGAAAAAGTAGCGATTATAAAGAAAAGAAAGACCGACCGTTTTCAAAACTACGACTTGTTTATGGAACGCTTCAAAGAAATTTACTAATTTAACAGTTCTCCCTCACCGATTCGCAGTCAAAATTGTGTACATCAATTTATTTCATTTTAAAAACAAGGCAGAACGTTTTGTATCGCCCACGTTTAACGAGGTAAATTCCCAATGCTTCAAACTTAAGCGATAAAACTTTAAAGACTCCACAGGGAAGCGGAATCGTTTGTAGTTTATTGGAAAAAATACAGAAAAAAAGCTAGACATTCCCAAGGTCAAAACAACTGGTTTAGACGAAGTTGCGTTGAGGTTGTGATTCGAGAGTTTTTACATAAACAAATCCAGAATGGTTCTGTTTTGAATTCGACAGTTATTGCTTGTATAAAATATTAATTAATTCGATTCAGTCACCTAATTGACCAATACAGATCATAATAAATAACATTCATTATAATAAGAATAATTGACTCCTTTATAAGCCTTTGAACAAGGAAACCTTTGAAGAGTTGAGCGTTGATCTGAACGGAGCGCGGAGTGCTTGAGGGCGTTGGAACAGGTCAAAAATGGCGGTAAAAACTACTTTCGTTCTTCTCTTATTGGGAATCGCTGGAATTTTCGAGGTTCAAGCAGCTTCCATTGCCACCGAAAATGATATGTGGAAGAACCTGCATGAAGGTTTGCCATATTCCTTGTTATTTTAAGCTGAGTTGTTTGTAAGCTGAGTTTATTAAAACTCCCGCGTTTTTTTGAGGTTTTTCTTATCTTACTTTGAATCTTGAGTAACCTGGTCTCAGTATTATGCATCAGATTGGGCTTTTCCAGACCGCTCTGAGATATTTCTGATAGATCATCGTAATTTTCCTAAGAGCACTGAAAAATAACAAAGTTCCTCGTTATTCCTTTATGAGTATCTGACCTTTCTTTTTGACCTGTATGACATGTCTAACATATGCAAAGAGAGAGACAATTCCCTTTGACTTAAAAGCGACGCAGCAGAGTATCAAAGCGCCGCAGCAAGAAATGTCTGCCATATAAAGATTGGTTTAGGTTTTCGTAAGATCTTAAGCCTGGAAAAGTATCGTGATTTGAAAGGACGATAAAGACTGTTTTTTTTCTTCATGATAATTTGTGCTAAGACTCAAAGAATTCAGATTATTACATCACCAGTTACGTTGTAAGTTTGGTAAAGTAAAGTAAACAGAACAAAGCATGTTGCATTGTATTTTGTAACAGTTCAGCTTGGAGTTTCAAAACTGAACTCGCTGTATCTTTTTTTCGATTTTCACTTGCTTGCACCAAGAAACTTCAAGTTTTAAAACTATAGAATCGTAGCTTTAACTAGATAAAACAAACGTTACTGGTTTTTGTTCCTAAACTCTTCTTTAAATAAAATCTCTACGCCATGCCAAACTACGCATAATATCATGTTTTTGCTAACGGAATCTTTCGATCCAGGGGTCACCTGCTTGAGACAAAATAACATCATGAATTATTTACCTCGCGCCGAGCCGTCGAAAAGGAGTAATTATAAAGAATTATATTATTGGAAGGCACATGCGAAACTGTGTAGCTGCGCAAACAAACAGCGAGTGGTTAAAACTTGAAGAAAAACAACTGATACGTCATGCATTCATGGCAAGGAGCTGGAGCCAATCAGGAGCTGGCTAACATATAGTCACGTGTCCTTAATGACGCCATATGTTTAGAAAGGCATCCACTGACCTTGAACGATTGCCAGCGCGCTACCTGCGCCTGCTGTATCTCCCACTCGGCGGGTTTCTTTCTCTAAATTAATGCTGTGTTCAGAAGGGTTCAGGAGTGACTTGAAAACAAACTAAAATTTCCTTGCTTTTTGTTTTTATCAGAGGAGGATAAGAGGGACGTTGAAGTGGACAACATTGATCCTGCGGAGTATCTACCAACAGGTGATTACGGCCGGCTGTAGGTCTTTCTCTAGTGTTAAACTTCCAGGTTCCTCTCAAATCTTAGGAAAGGTGCTTGCAATCTTTGACAATCTTCGGAAATGGGCAGAAAATGATCGAAAACGATGGCATGACTTGTGCATGATACTTTCGGAGATCTTCGGAAAATAGTCGGAAATCCTAAGTATATGCAAAACGCGCGGAGAATCACGTGAAATCCGTCCGTTCTAAGCAGCTACCTTAGGCCTCGTCCATACTCCGCTGCACAAATTTGAAAACGCAGCTTTATTTCTACAGTTAAGCCTACCATCTACACTAATCCGTCACGTCGAAAAGCGAAGCTTTCCGAAAACGCTTTTAAACCAGAGGAATTTGAAAACGCCGTTTCATTGTTTCGTTTTCGGGTGGACAGAAAATAGTTTTAAAACGATGCTCATCGAAAACGATGGCGTAACGAAAATCATGCGATTTTCCTCACCGACTTTTCCTCAAACACAAATGACCGGTGATTGTCGCGTTTTTAAATTCCACCGGTTCAGTGTGGACGTGGTCTAATAGAGTATAGGATTCACGGCGTGTTAGTGTTTAATTCTTTGGGTCGAAACTGCGATATCGCTGTTTCGCGAGGAAAAATGTATAGTTAATCCTGTATTAAGCAGACCACATAATAAGCAGGAAACCCTGACACAAGTATCACTGTTATTTCCAAACGTTTCTTCAGCCCGTATCTGCTGTGAAACAAACCCATGTTTAGCAGAGACCTTCACGCAACGGAGGATTCCTTGGGGTCTCCTTACGGAATATATGCAGGGACGGATCTAGGAGTTTTCTTAGGAGGGGGTGCACCAATGAGGAATTAATGGCATAACTGACTGGTGAGGCAAACAAATTTTAAAAGTGAATAAAAAGAAGAAGGCTTCATCTCAAGGGAAGGGGAGGTGCGCACCCCTGCACCTTCATCCTAGATCCGTCCCTATTTATGTAACACGTGTGAGTGCTGAAGTGATTTTATGACATTAAGTTCATTGTTTTATAGATGACCTGGGATACGAGGACCTCGCTTCTGATGTTGCCGATGGCTTTGACTACTATAAAGATGCTATGGAGAGCAGAGCAGGTAACACACTGATTTCAAACAACAAGCTTAAGGACATTGTCGTGACGTATGGCCATGGCCAAATTCTCACGACTGCAATGAAAGGAAATGTATGGCAATCAAAATTGAGAATTGATATTTTAATCTTGAGAATGAAAGATTAAAGTTCTATATATGCGTAGAGAACAAATAACGACTNATAACCGAAAGGTGAGAAAAAAGTTTCATGCCCCAGAAATTTGCCCAACCCCTCTCCACCCTTTCAAAAAATTATGTTCCGTCTCGAAGTAAGGTATGGTGACAATGGAAAGGATTTGTAATTTACACTAAGGAATAAAACATTAATTTCAGTGGCATGTCAGGACGTCTTCGGAGCACTGTGTAAAAAGCTTGCCGGAAGCGACAGGCAGTGCACCTCTGCACGGAATATTCGATTTGCCAAAAGGTTTTGCCCAGGCAGTTGTTCACAGTTCTGTAAATGATCCGGTGAGTACACCTTAGTGAGTGAACCTCGCCGCCTCCTAAATACGAGTAGTCCCTCTGTACGTTAGACTACGCTAAATATTTCACTGATTTTGAAAACAAACGGCATTTTGTACTAGACCGGGCACGGAAATGATATGCCTAATCGTCTTAACATTATCAAGCTATATAATAACGTCAGCTTCCTAGATGCTGTACAAAGTGGTGCCGTTTAGCTAAAAAGACATTTGAGCTAAAAATAGCCCTGACAGGTCAAGTGACATTATATGAGTCCAGAAAATATTTAAGGTTGCCGAACTTCTTGCTCATAATGATATTCCAAGGTTATAAGGTGTTTTTAACATGCTTAAGAAATTAGATACCCCCTCACTCTTTTCATGAAAAAGTTTTAAAGCCAGGCCTTAATTTTCTTGAACTACAGAAACCGGGTTAAGCTCAGGCCTGATGGGCCACCTGGTTCGTATGCAGACCTTAGCTTTTTCATTTACCTTCTTAGCGCCAAGGTATCACCCGCTCGCGAGATTCCGCCAGGATGTCCGCCAGCTACGCAGGTTACTCTTTGAAAAAAGTTGTCATGTTTCTTTACTTTCAGGTCGCAGACACACCGAGATGTCAAACCAGCTGGATTTATATTTAACCTTTATCCTTTTGACCCCAAACCATTTCTCGTTTGTCGAGAGTTTTTCTATCTCAAAAAGTGGCACGTCGAATTCTCAACTTAATACTAGTCAATATATTGTATCAAAGTAGTTAATACGCTAATTCCAACTAACACCTAACCGTTTCGAAGGGACACTTCATTTCATTAACCAATAGCGAATTGTTTCTAAGCTTATTAAAGGCGTACAAGATATCTCGAAACTATTCCCTGAGCTTATTTCCATTGAAAACTTTGCCGCAACAACAACAACAACCATTTATTTGTACTCACAATTTATAAAATAATTACAATAAACATTAAATTAGTATAGAGTACTGCCTGTCCAAAATAACCATAAGGGCTAAAAAGAATGAGCAGACATTAAGTTACATAGATTATTTATACAGTTATCTGAAGCCGTTGACATTAGTGTTCTTGTCATTAAGCTATTTAGAGCTCGATCGATTGAATAATATAGAGTAACATAAAGTTTTTTTTTCGCGAACCAAACTAACCAATTAACTCAAATCTTATGTACCTTTGCTACATGGTCAACTTGGGGCTTAATTCATAGAATAAATTACTCGCAGCCTCTAAACGGGCCCAAGATTTCGAGCCTTAGCCATTTAACCAAGAAGTCTCGACATGTTGCCCCTCATAAGTGGATTTTGACAGCAATCGATTCAAGTTGATCATGTTCAAGTTTACAGTTTACTTAATAAACTTATCATCTTCACAAGCTCGGCTGCTTAACATTACAATGGATACCTAAATTCTAACAACGCTGATTAACCTAAAATACTAACCAATAATTACTTAATAAACTGCAAACCGTAACTTTGCCCTCAAATCATCTCTAATCGTCACCATTTCTTAATCTTTGCTTCACCTTTAATGTTAAATCCCAAATCCTGAAACGCTTTTTAGCTCTCCACATAAACTCTCCGAAGAGTCGCCTCCTCCAGTGCCAGTCTTTGTAATTGTATAGTAGATAACTCGGTGAAGCGTCTGTTGTTATTGGTCTAATATCGCCGGAAAGACCTGCCGCTTATATTTATTTCGGATTCCAATGAATGGTTTCTATTGCATGTATCGAATTGTCTTAGTCAGTAAGGAAATAAAGCTGGGTCAAATGATTGTGTTCTTGCTTGTCAATCAATCGAATCTTTAATCTTTTTTTATTTTATTTTATTTTATTTTATTTTATTTTCCGAATCTTTAATCTTAATCTGAGTAAACATTCTTTTCTGCCACTCCAGTAATGAACAGGGGCAGATATAGGATTTTAATTTTCAAGGGTGGGTAGCTAGTCCTTTTAAGGTTGCAGAATCAGAGGAGTGCGCGTGCCCCAAAAAATGTTGCAATTTGAGAATTGAAACCTTCAAACTGTTACACAAGAAGTACTAGCAATGCTACAAACTAGAAATTACAATGACGAACCTGCCCAAAGATTTTGCCTTCATTTCTGCCAAAATATTCACAAAATCCACATCCTCTAAATCCCCGCCCCCCTCTCGATGCCTTTGCCGTCGTGGTTTTTTAAGTTCTCTATTTTTGTTTTCGTACCCTTGTTCAGAAACAAATTTCCGGGACTTTTCCAGGACTCAGATTGATTTTTCCAGAACTCTAAAATCCACATTAACCCTTTCACTCCCAAGATCTCAATGTTAATTCTCCTTACTGTCTGTCATACATTTCATATTTTTTACTTGAGTTTAACAAATTTCCAGAACTTTCCAGGACCGGCAGCCCTTTTCCAGGACGTTTCAGTCCTGGAAAATGCCACAGTAAAATTCCAGAATTTCCAGGTTTTTCAGGACCCGTACGAACCCTGCGCGGTAGTTTTATCACTCAATCCAACATGGCGTTGCGTGAGTCACGTTGGATGTGGGATGGAGTGCCTGGTGCCTTCTGTTCAACTCGGCGGGTCTGAAACACAGGTCACGGGTCATTGTTTTACCAATACTGGAACAACCCTAACACCTTCCTAATGCTAACCTTAGGCGTAAATACTACACTAAGACAATGTTTAGGCTTCAGGTAAGTATTAGTAAAGGTTTAAGGCTGTTTCAGTATTGGTAAAAACAATAATAACCTGTGACCCGTGACCTGTGTTTAAGACCCGCCACATTCAACCAAATATTCCAGAACTTTCGAAAAGGAGGCAAATGATATGGAAAATTCCTTGAAAAGTTTCCGAACATTGTTGAAGTTTTTGAAGCACCAAATGAAACAACTTTCAACATTGTCAGGTGACCGTTTTTGGCCTAGGACAGGTGTCCACTACAGTTAAGTCATTTGTTTATTGATTCTT